CTCTTTGTTCAAAGAACCTGTGAACAACGCTTGAATGCCGTGTGATTCAGAGAACATGATCAGAGTTAAAAGCGCAACAATTAACAATGAACAAAGCTGTTAAAGGTGTTATAAGCTGTTAAGTAAAAGCTGTTAAAGGTGAGAGAACCACTACAGATATCCTGGATGATGCCATTTCTGCAAGCAACCTGCGAAAAACTTCTAGTTGCCATGGGGTGTAGAGAACACGATCTGAGATTAAATACGGAACAAAGAACAATGTAATCCAAAACGGTTTTGTCTTGCAAATATCACCTTTAAAGCTGTTAAAGGTGAGAGAAACTCTCCAGAAATCCTGGATAATGCCAGGTATTTGTTCAAGCAGCCTACGAACAACGTATGGATGTCGTGGTATTTAGAGAACACGATATGAGTTTACAAACGGAACAATGAACAATGCTATCCAAAACAGTGTTGTCTTGTGAATTTCACATTTAAAGCTGTTAAAGGTGAGACAAACCCTCCAGAAATCTTACATGATGCCAGGTCTTTGTGCAAACAAACTGCGAACAAAGGCTAGATGCCGTAGTATTTAGATAACATGATCTGAGTTTAAAACGCAACAATGAACAACATGTAATCCAAAACGATGCTGTCTTACGAATATCAGCTTTATATTGTTTTAATCAGAAGGTTTACACAAAAAAACAGTTCATGGAAAAGATATTAATTGACTGTAAAACTTTTTCCAAAAGCAAAAAGGCAGCAAGTAAGTATCGATATTGGAAATAGAATTTAAAAAAGTACAAAATATCATGTACCACTTAATAAGTAATTCTACTCTTCTACTCTCTGAGTGTGGTTAATCAGACATAAATGTTAACGCGCGCAAGTCTTACGTTCTTACAAAAAATGCAAAGTCAATCCTTCGAAGGTATCAGTGACACTCGGAAAGTGGTTCGGTAATAAAAGAATTCTTCTCGAGTTTCCATGCACGTGGAGTGTTACAATTTGACATATGTTTGAGTCTGACTACTTTAGTATATATAATATATATATAAATGTAACAATTTGGGTGTTGAATCTTTGATCTTACGTCTTTTTAGGTCAGATTGTGACATTCCATACAGTCCATGCCGTATCCTAGTAGATTTGCATCGCATTTGAGATAAGTTGATTTATGCTATTCGTGGATATCCCGAGGCTACTAAAATATGGTCAGGAACCAGCCTGCTTCTTATGTTATAATCATATTCTGGCAAGAGACCGGCACTGTATGTAACTCTACGTTAGATTGTATCGGAACATCAAGTGAAATTTGCTCAGTAAAATAGTAGATTTGCTTCCTGAAACCTCTGCCTCAAAAAAATATATCTCGTTGCTTCTCTCTGAACTACGCACAGCTGTTATCATAGTCGCTATATCTGACTAATATCAAAAGGTTGGTAATGACAATTTTCCACCACATAAAAGAAAAAGGTGATCTTAAAGAGATCGATCAGGCGTGCAGCTTCTAATTATAGAAATCCAGGTTCTCATCAAGACAATCTTGAGAAGGCCTCGATAACAATGTCTTTTGAATGTGATGCCTTGCAAAATTACGAGACTTGGCTTTATATAGAATAATTGTCTTCACCTTCAAATTGTGAGAGCTGGCATTACATGAAAGAATTGTCTTGCATGTATTTTAAAAACGTTATGCAAGATTTTGCTTTGTTAACTCATTTGTATAACTTCACCACCTTCAAATTACGAGAGCTGGCATTACATGAAGCAATAATTATTGTGTTGCATGTATTTTTAAGAAGCTTTGTTCTGCACGCTATGTTAATCCATTTGCATAAATCCTTCACCTCCAAGCTTGGTTCTTTTCAGATGACTGGATAGAATCCATTGAGGGACTGATATTTTTTGTATGACGCCGTGGTGTAAAATTACTGGTATTTCATAGAAAGATGGTTTTGCATGTATTTTTACGATGTGACGTCAGATTTTGCACCCTTCGTTAATCCATTTGCATACATCCTTCACCTCCAAGCTTGGTTCTTTTCAGATGACTGGATAGAATCCATTGAGAAACCAGTGAGGGACTAATATTTTTTTGTAAGATGCCGTGGTGTAAAATTACTGGTATTTCATAAAAAGATTGTTTTGCATGTATTTTACTGATGTGACGCCAGATTTTGCACCCTTCGTAAACCAATTGCATACATCCTTCATTTTCAAGCTTGGTTCTGTTCATGACTGGATAGAAGCCATTGAGTAACCATTGAGGGAGTAATATTTTTGTATATGACGCTGTGCAAAATTACGAGAGTTGGCAGTACATGAACGAATTGTCTTGCATGTATTTCTAAGAACTTACGCAAGACTTTGCACGCTTTTCTTTAACTCATTTGTATACGTCCTTCATCTTCAAGCTTGGTTCTTTTCAGATGACTGGATAGAATCCATTGAACAACTATTGAGGGACTGGTATTTTTTTGTATGACGCCGCGCAAAATTACGAGAGTTTACATAAAAGAATTGTCGTGTATGTATTTTTACGACGTTACGTAAGATGTTGTTGAGTTAAACGCATTTGTATAATTCCTTCACCTTCCAGCTTGGTCCTTTTCAGAACTTCAAGGCGATCTTACTGACGGTTGCTTCAGTACGCAACGTACGTATCACCTGTCACGTTACAATGTGGTTATTATTAGATTACATTGCTAACGCGAGTTCTTTCAGGCAATAACATCAAATGTCTAGGCGATAAGGTGCCTACAATATTGCCTGGTCAAAGGTGGAGTCCGTGTGCCCCTCAAGCTTATAACTCAACCTTTTGCTGACGTTCCCGGAAGACACCTTCGACCACCACTGCTGATAATTATGCGTGATTTTCACACGTACATTGTACACGCTACTATTAAAATAGCCTCTAACCCTAACCCACTCAGGTACAAAACTAGGTAGGCACGGTTCTGAAAAGCCTCTACCAGGCTTCGGGAGGCGGCTGGAAAGAGTAGAAATCGGCCAAATAAGAGAGATAGCATGCCAGGGGTGCGGCAAACCGTTCTCTCCCAGCAGACCAACTCCCCTGGCATCTTATCTGGCCAATTTCTACTCTTTCCAGCCGAAGCCTGGTAGAGGCTACACGCTACAGGTAGAAATTCCCAAGGCCCCAATCGTATCCAGAACCGTGCCTATCTAGTTCTGTACCTGAATGGGTTAGGGTCAGGGTCAGGCACGGTTCTCGGTAGTCTCCACCTATCCAAGAACCCTACCCCACTCAGGTACAGAACTAGGTAGGCACTACAAGGCTTCTGGAGGCGGCTGGAAAGGGTAGAAATTGGCCAGATAGACAGACATGTGTAACATACCAGGGGATCCGGAGTTGCTCCACTAGCTATATAAAGAGAGAACAGTTTCTAATCTTTCCAGCCGCCTCCCTAAGCCTGGTAGAGGCTATCTAGAACCGTGTCTAAGTAGTTCTTTACCTGAGTGGGTTAGGATTAGGGTTAGGGTCAGGCACTGTTCTTGGTAGCCTCCGCGTATCCAAGAACGTAGATTCGCCCCAGGCATGGCTCTGGATACGTGTGAATATATGGAGAACCGTGCCGGAGCATGGTCCAGGATAAAGCATGGCTTTGGATACAAGAGCCCATGTCCTTTCGATAGAGTCCATTGAACAACAATCGAGGGACCAATATTCTATGTATATGACCCAAAACATTTTAGATTAGATATAATATATGGCATGAAAGAGTATACTATATATAACACGCAATACTTACAAAATGCACTTCTTTATGATCAATAGAATTTGTTAAAAAAAGAAAGAATCGCGTCCTCCGAGGCTCTAGCCCGAGTGCCATCCTCTGTAGTCCATGGTAGTTAGCGACAACAGGGAGCCGGCGGTAACTAAGGAGGACGGCACCCAGTAAGTAAGTAAAGTAAGAATTCATTTGAACTGCTGTAATGAGATTTTTGACCGTTCAACAGTCGCTGGCTCAGTGGAACTGGGCCTTAACGACAGCTTTACAGACGTGTGAGACGGTTTTACTGGTCCAGAGACTTGCTTATAAGGACGGACTGGATGAGAACATTTGCATACAAATTGTTTAAGCTCTTGATAATATTTTTAGCTGTCTGAAAAAAGCTGATCAAAAAGTCAATGGCCTTTCGTCACGGTGGCAGCTTGGAAGCGGTGTGATGGCGTCATGCATTCCTATTCCTTCATTAGATTTAAGGCCACACTGATTTAATTTTATGGATGACGTCCGCGCGTGCTCTGATTTTCGCTTGTTCTAAAACAAAGAATCACCTTCTCCGAGGCTCTGGCCTGGGTGCCACCCTCCGTAGTTCATGGTAGCTAGCGACAAGAGGGAGCCTGCGGTAACTACAGAGGATGGCACCCAGGCTGCCGAAGCTCCACGGAACTAAAGAAATCAGTACAGTGCCGACTCATAAATGTAGCAAAAGTCCAGCGTGTGCCGGCTTGTCGTAAATGTCGTTATGTATGCAAAGATTGAGTGAAACAAGTCGTTTGGAGTGATGTAGCCAGCTGCCGCCGCGCCGCGTGCCTGCGAAGTTAGTGTGTTACGCCGAAGGGCGGTTATACTGGCTATACCGATACAGATACACTAACGTAAATTCACAATTATACCAGCTTTGTATTTCTGTGCTTTAGCAGCATTTTTATTTATGGGCTTGATTTTTTTTATTCGCCCGCGCGCACTCGTTTGAGAGTCTTCATGGGACGTTATCCATAAAATTAAGCCAGTGTGGCCCTAATCACAACAGACGTGTGTTTCACGCGAGTTTTATGAATGGTCTGTAATTCCTAAAGCGGCGTTCTTTGGCGGCTCCCCTGATTCAACTCTGACGTGCTGACGTGCAGACGGCAGAGAGAGAGACTGTGTGTGTGTGTGTAGGTGGAGGGAACATGATTGGCCCAGGCCTGCCCGTCTTGATCTATTCATATCGTAAAACCGAGCAGGCGAGAGACTACTTAATATTTACTCCGACGCCTCCGCGGGTGTTAGAACAGAATCCACAAGTCCGTGGTCTACCGCAGCGACGCTCACTACTACTCCAGCCACCGACTGAGAGAGAAAGAGAGAGAGGGAGACAGAAAGAGAGGAAGAGAACATGAGGCTGCTTGGTGTACTGGTGGCCGCTCTACTCCTCGCCACCGCCGCCTCGGTACCGGTGTACAACAAGAGGTCCCCGCGGTACTGTGGCAGAGACTTTTTAAGATTCGTGGCCCGAACCTGCGCGCGGTCGAAGCGGTCCTCCTGGGCGGCAGACGAAGGACAGGGCTGGGGAGGAGACCCTCGCCTGCCACTGCTGACGGGTCTGACCAAACACCGTGAGTTCGCTTTAACTTCTACGTTCTACCGTAAAGAAGTATTCCCATCTTTAAGTACGGCTTAAAGCTCACTACATTAAAAAAATGCATTTACGAATGCTTAAATGGCGGGCTTATATATAGGGTCTGACTAAACACCGTGAGTTAGCGTTAACTTCTACGTTCTATTCTTTTCTGTTTTATATTTTATGAAGGTTTACCATACTTGTGGAAGGATTGACATAACAGGTGACTATATATCACCTCTTCAAGATGTCAAACCTGAGACCAGACTGTAAGGTTTGAACCACTCACACACACACTTGTTTCGATAAGTGCAGTGGGTTCTTTAACGTGCGTGGGGTGTGGCTCTCCCAAACTCGTTCTATCGTAAAGTATTCCCAGCTTTAAGTACGGATTGTAGCGTAAATGCTTACTAGAGTACAAAAAAATTGCATTTACGAATGCCAGTGGGCTTAAAGATAGGGTGTGACCAAACGCCTTGAGTTCGCGTTTACTTCTACGTTCTAGCACAGGAAAAGAAAACAATTACGGCTCTTAGTGGCAAATGTGCGGGTATTGGCACATTGGCGCACCAAATCTGTAGTGTGTTTTTGTCACACAGTTACAGATTAGCCCAAGAGGCTCTGTGGGCGTCACTCCACTGTACAGGTGGGGAAGTCGTGTAAAGTGCCTTTCCCAAGGGTACAACGTCGGGCCATAGTGAGGATCGAACCAGGGACCTATTGGTTCCGAGTCCAACGCAGCAAATTGTCACCACAAGTATCCGAATCTTTAAGTTCAGATTATTTAACCCTATCTAGACCGGGGTGGGGGGG